TTGTACTGTTGGGGGTGGGGTTGTACTGTTGGGGGTGGGGCTGTTCTGAGGTAATGGATGTGATTATGGGGGTTGGTAAGTTTGGGGAGATGAGGGCTTGGCTTTGGGTGGGATTGGTTAGGCTAGTGTGTCACATTAACTATCATTAGAGATTTCAAGCCTGATTGGGTAACGGAATAAACTCCATTCAATAAAGAAATCTAATCAATGCTTAAACAAGAAGCTAATGAATGAATTTATATAGCATCCATTAGCCTTGGCTGTAGCACAATCTGCAAAATCTGAATTTCACTTCTGGAAAACAACAGTTTTCCCCTATCTAACAGCAGCGTTGGCTTGCACCTCTTGGACCAGGGTTTGAGTGTACCCCAGGGTGTATATACATGGAGTGGAGTTTGCATGCTCTTCCTCTGGTGTCATATTGGTTTTCTTCTAGCCTCCCCCCCCCCATGCTGTGGGTAATTGGAGTTACTAAACTACTTGTTGATGTAAGTGTGCTCTGCAATGGGTTGGTGCTCCATCCTGGGTTGTTTCCTGCCTCATGCCTCTAGCCTCTGGGATAGGCTTTGGACCCCACCCCATGACCTTGAGTAGGTTAAGCAGTTGCAGAAGATGGATGGATAACTCATTCATTTATTGCTATAGTTCACTTTGTTACTCATGGATTTCCATTATCTTTTAATAATAAATAAATTAGAAATACTTCATTTACTATTATTTTCTTGGTTATTATTGAGGGCAATGGGGACATATTGTTATTGCACAGAGCTGGGAATGTACAGAAGCAGATAGTTTTGGTGCATTATAATTGTAACTTTTTGGCATTTTAACAGGAAAATACGCAGTGGAATTGTGCTACAGAGAGATCAAAGACTATGATTTCAGCAAGCCTGGATATCAGACGAGCACAGGTGAAGCCCCCCCCACGCACACACAGGTCAGGTCAGGTCAGGTCAGGTAAGGTTGGGTAGCATGTGCTGATGTTGCACGTTGCTGCAGTCACCACATGGCGAAACTCCTCGGCATCCCAGCTGGTGACACACGGTCCAGTCCCATCCTCCAGAATTAGCCATCTATCTGCCGCAGCCAAGTGTTACGTGGGTGTCCCCTTGGCCTGGTCCAACCACTCGGATCCTTAGCAGCTAGGATCCTGCGAGCCAGATCACCCTCAAGGAAACACGCCACATAGCCATAGTGCCATAACTGACACTCCCTCACAATGCATTTGGGTCTCTTCTAGCAACCGCTTGTTCGACGCAAAGTCAAACCAGCGGTACCCAAGGATTCTGTTAAGAGTCACTGTACTGAAGGAGTCCAGTCTTCGTCTCAGCTCACTGGATAGTGTCCATGTCTCACAGCCATACGGCAAGACAGGGAGCATCAGAACTCTAAAGACTTGGACCTTTCTCCTCTTGCAAAGATATTGGAAATACCACCCACCCCTTTCCAGCGACCTCATGACCCCCGATGCTCTCCCAATCAATCTGCTGACTTCATAGGAAGAGTCACCAGGGACATGAATGTCACTACCGAGGTAAGTGAATCTCTCAACAAGGTGGACATTCTCCCTGCAGACAGACATACTGCTGATGCCTGTGCCTAAGAAGTCATTAAAGGCCTGG